TAAATGTTCAAGTTATGGAGATTTAATAAAATGTTTTAAATTTGATAATCAGTTGTACGTTCTACTTTTATTGAATCATCAACACATTTGACAAAGGGGGTACTTGTGGTATGAGAAAATCTCTCAGGGGGTACACAATTCAAAAAAGGTTGGGAAACACTGCTCTAAGAGACAAATACAGACAGAAATAAAGAGACAAAAATAAACATGCAACAAACTGGAACAAAAAGTCCTGTTTACTTTCCTGCAGCATGGGACCCATGCCATCCTAGACGAGACTGCAGCCCATCGCAGGGGCTCACACACGCACATATACGTACAGTGGAGGCGGGATTTGAACCAACAACCCTTGGAGGTCAGAGGTAAAACCACTACCCACTGAGGCACCCTCGTGGTGAAATATGATTAAAGGTTAACTGATACCATTGCACAAAACAGAGCCATTCCACAGGACATTAAGGAAGCAGAGCTTCACTGTGGTGTACTGTAGTATGCCGTTTTCCACGCGGCGTTTCTGCAGTACGCTGAAATGCCTTGCTGTTCGAAAGAGAAGCAGGCCTCCGGAGGTGATGACATGCCTGCAACAGGCCTCACATTGCACAAGCAGGCTGGAGGCTCTCCCTGAGCTGCCAACACAAGCTCGTTTGCAGAGTATACAGAGATCTACATTCCTCAGAGAGTAAGTGTCGCTCTAGGACATGAATGGGCTGGATGATTTAATGCTTCTCTGTGAAATGGTGACCGTTCGCTAATTCCCCCTGAGCACAGGCAACTGTGACAGGATCACTCATACTGCAGCTGAGATAGCAGGTTACACCTACAGGCTTTTCCCTGTGAGTGTCTGTATGTTAACTGCTGCAAAATGTCTGAGCATTTGCATTTTTTTTTTCATTTGAATGCATTTTATTTAGTAGATCTATCCAAAGTGACGTTCATTTTCTGTGAAACCAGGATCAGCCAGTTCCTGGAGCATTTTGGGTTAAGGGCCGTGCTCAAGGGCCCGGTGGTGAAATCGCTCTGCTGATTCAGGGATTTGAACTGGCAACCTTCCGATCACAGGCACAGCGTCCTAATCCACTGAGCCGCACACCACTTCTATGTATGTAAATTGTACAGAACTTTCACATGCTTGCCAGTGTGAGGCCGGGAGCTGGGAGGAACCAAAATAATGGACTGTCTGGGGATCCCTGAGGAACGTATGCTGGGAACCACAGATCTAGAGTGTTTCTCAATAGGAGTACTTGACCATACTTGTGTTCTCGTATATCTGTTTTACGTCATCCTCCATTGCCAAAGGCCAGTTCCGATACTCAAGAAGTACAGAGAACAATGAAAATCCCCGGATGTCGTTCTTGCCCCCCCCTGCCCCACACAGATATCAAGGAAACATCAGTTGCATCCTCAACGAACGAGACCAATCCCATGATTCATTGTGTCTCAACTTTGTTCGTGGGAGGGAAGTTTGCAAGACCGGGCTTGCCAAGACCACAAGTAGGATCTCAGTGTTCTTGGTATTGAGAGACATGCCTAGTATGCTGCTGTCACACCAGCCAACAGTGATGACCCTCATCTGAAAGCCACTGAGCTACTGCATGTGACCCCTACAACTGCTTCTCCATGACTAGTAACATAATCATGGATGACAGTGACAGCTGGGCTGTTCTTATTACCGTTACCACTCTAACAAAAAAAAGCACCAAATAAAGACAATATGCACTTAAGGGATTCAAGTTTCCACTCAGTGTGATTAGTCTACTTAAAATCAATCTAAACCCACTGCTTAACTTTCATAATCTCGAACATGGGTGGCCAATCTTATCCAGAAAGGGCCACCGTGTGTGGGTTTTTGTTGCAACTGCCTAATTAGACTGACTGGCTGAAGAGTCCTCACACCTGGATTTGAACAGCTGACCTAATGGTTATCCCAAAAACCTGCGTACACACCGGCCCTTTGTGGATAAGATTGCCCACCCCTGCTGTAAATAAATGCCCCAGTCATAAGCATTCCAAAGAGACCTTCTACCTCTAAGGTTTTGTTTAAAAAGAAAACCTCCGTACAGACGTACTTCCCAGTACTTCTGTAAGAGAACATGCATTTTATGTATAAAATATAAAATGACACTCCAGCAGACATAAGATTCCAAAAAGTAATCTTACCCAGATCAACAAGCCCGTTTCAACTAAAAGTATTCAATCACGTCTGCATCTAAATTTATCTATGATGTCATGTGTAAACTTGACTGCACTGAATTCCCTTTTATGAAATCGCAGCTGTAATTTTGAGATGAAGGGTTGAACTCTATCAGACCACACAGCGGCACAGTTACAGTACAAAAACGCAAATCTCAGAGGGCAAATGCAGCTTCATTCTGAAACTAGTCCTACTCACATTGCTACCGAAGGCAGGGAATAAATCTTAAACAAAACATGCTATTATTCTGCTTGCAATAATATTCCCTGAATTTACTCAGTTACCCAGCAAGGGCTAATTTCTGTCACTCATGACTAAATAACCTGGAAATATAAGACATAAAAACAAACTAATAAGATGTATCTTTTTATTACTGTAACAGTCTGCATGTGTCCATTCTGCTGATCAAACGTTTTAGTTCTCCATCCTAATTTGGGATTCGATTCTAGCTAATGTATAATTTTCTTCTGTAGGGTATGTAACCCTGACATATGTATAGAAACATTAAAACCGAAATGTATTTTAATGCTTTTTATTGAAGCATTTCCAATAATATATAAATGGTTCCAGCAAGATATCCAGTATGTACCTGAAATTCAATCAACAAAGCAGAAAAAGTTTCCATGTAAAATTTACTGCTGACAAAGAACAAGATCATAGAAACAAAACCGATCATGAATGAATGGACAAGTGGATGAATAATGAATGGATGGGCAGATGTGGATGAACAATTATTTGAGTGGAGTAGGAGTCCAGATAAGTGCTGTTGACTGGCAGATGCATAAGTGTAGTTGATATGTATATTGTGTAACACAAGCAATAATAATGATAACAACATCAAATTCACCACGGTTCTTTAAGACATCTGGCCTATCTGGCTGGCAATCCAAGAAGGATCACATTTTCTCAGAAGGGATGCTTATGACGGAAGCCACCTCAGCTCTTGACTGCTGATGATTGTGAAACCAAAATATCCTCCAGGGCAAGCGTGAAGAAGCATTGTCAACAGTTTGTGTGTGTTTGCATGCATGTGTGTGCGTGTGAGTGTGCATATATGAATGGGGCGCCTATGATGATTCAGCTGCACTAAAAAATTTAGATGTTTTTCTAAAAAGGTTTTCTAAATTCAGTTTCCTGGCCTGTAATGGAAGATCAGACATTGTGTACATGAGAACTACCAAGCAGGTCATCCTGACTGAGAGTCACAGCCTGCGTGCGCATTAGGTTCTACGTTTAGCACACGAAAAAGGCAACACATCCCCGCCCCACACAAATAACTTAAGTAACAGCAGAACTTAAATTTGTGTTTTGGGGTAGTGGAACACTAAGTCAGACACTTCAAAAGAAATAGAGTCACTGAGAAGAATGTCTGAATAAAAACAGAAACGAGTCACAATTGCACAACATGCAACGTACAGCTATAGGTATCAGACACAGCGCTGAAACAGCAACCAAGACCGGAATAGCTTGTGTAATGTATCCGAGGCATTTTATGATGGTACATTGTATCACTCCAGCTTTAAATCAAGCGTGCGCAGTGTCAGTGCGGGTCAGGGGCCCAGGACATATTCTGTAAGTGTATTACAAGCAGATTCTATCAGAGAAATAACAACTATATCTAAATGGTCTACGATCTCGTGTGTGTGAACAAAGAATCGCACCACACTGGTGACAGAAGCCGGTATCAGTTATTTACTAATCGCCCTGCCCTCCTCCACCCACCTACCCACCTCTGCTCTATCAGTCATTTACTAATCGCCGTTTCCCGCCCCGCACACAGGCACACATTCATCTACGAACTTCGAAGTTCTCCTGCAGCACAAACATATGCGTATTATACGGCCGGTGATGGACGCTTACCTGCTCCCTCCGCTTCTGCCAGCGGCCGCAGGGGCTCTCCTCCAGGATCTCGCTCTCATCTTCACTTTCCTCCTCCTTTACCCCAGAGCCCGAGTTCCTCTCCGGGACAGGCATAGTCATCTTAGCCCGTATGCTCCTTAGTTTGCTTGTCTTATTTTAAATTACAGTAACATATTATTTTTTCTTGATTACTTTCGTTGCTTGTTCTTCATGTAACTACTGAGAAGTCGACTTGATCATCGGTGTAACATACTTGCCGACGTGCGGACTCTAAATTACACAATTACATTGAATGGATGCAGCTGCGATGCACAACGATACTTTAAAACCAATATATTAATGTATACGTACACACATACATGCATATATAAATTAAGCTGCGTAAAAACTATTATACCGACTAGCTTATAAAATAACTGATCACGACTTAATTTGTTGCATTCAATAAGAGAGCTACATGCGTACTATAGGCGCACAGGACCATACTCTAAATTCAACGCCTTAAACGCTCCAAAGCCCGCATTGTTATTGAAACGATATTTTTTTTTATCAGTAGCCATCCCCTTTTACTCAACCTACACACATCTTTCACCATTTGGGTCCCGCCTCTAGCCTCGGTCACTGTTCAGTGTAAGGTTACCGTAAATCTCTTAAGATGAACGCTCGGGTATTTCCAAAACGTAATGCTATTCCTTCTTCGTATTTAATGTCGTGTATTTTGGTAATTACACTTTCAATTCATTCTGACATTAAAACATCGTCTGCTTTGGTGACCTTCTGTCAGGCGCTCGCTCTTTTTTTTTTTTATCACACATGTATCATATTTTATATGGGCAGTACTTCTTTCCCGTTACATGCATGCCATTTATGTGTACCTAAAGACGAAAACAGACATGTATACGTCTGAGCGTGTATGTGCATGTTTGTGAGTGTCATGCTAGTGCAGTTTAAGCAGAGGGAATAGTTGCATTAATAGGTCAGTCCATCTTGGTGGTTCACCTTATATTGCTCATCATTTTATGTTTTTGGGTTTTTTGACATCACTCTCGCGGTGCCTTACATGGCTGGGATATGACATTATTATTATTGTGGAGGAACAGAATATAACAGCCACACTGCAATCCTCATCTCTGCACTTTTTTACAGTATATTGGGATAATGTGTTCCTGATGTTGACACACCTCTGCTTTAGTTACAGTAAGGAACTGTACTGTTGGTTACAGTCAAATTCAGATTGATAGTAGCTGGAAGCCAGATTGCTGTAAGGGGTGGATGACAGGAGAGGATTAACTACAAAGCTATATTCAGCTGTGTAAACCAGTGCAAACTAAGGTCCATATGTTACATATTCAGGATTCAATTCTATATTGTATACAACAGCACAACACTGAGTTAGCAACTCCCCAAACGGTGCAAACAAAAACACACGAGTAGACATGTAAGTAAAATGTACAGAATGGCTGATAAATATATGCAGAAGTACAAATGCAATTAATAGAAGGACTCTGTGGTGCGTGGGGGTTATGTGTGAGAGTCCTTTAGTGCTCAGATTATCCTGGTAAAAAGTATAGTAAAGTCTGGTAGTTTGTCTCTGACTGCCCTGTACCTTCCACTGGTTGGTAACAGTCCAAATAAATGTTGTCCAGGGTGCAATGCGTCACTGAGGATGTTTGTGGCTCTGCAAAGGCAAGGAGAGTTATAGATGTCTTGCCGGGGGAGAGAATATCAACCATCCTCTCCGCATTCCTGATGATTTGCTTCAAATACTCAAAAACACTCGAGTCAGAATTCTTAGTGCTTGTCTCAAGCCAAGCACAAACTTGCACAATCACAAAATTCTGCCTGCCCTATCAAGATGCAACATTTCTCTGTAAAGGGGGTGGGTGCTTGTTGCCTGTTATAGCCTCTCCATGAATTTGGGGAAGGGGAGCTTCCTGTCTGTTACAACCTAACCTCTTTCATTTTTAACCCGCGAATGCACATTTTATAAAATAATCATGACCTAATACTAAATGGAATACAGTGATTGCGTTCATCATTAAAAATAAAACAATCCACTCTTACACACATTTTGGTGTTACATTATAGACTGGCATAAGAGATTTTAAGACTGATGGAAATAAAATATTCAAATAAAAACTACATTATAAAAAATAAAGTATACAAGTTATATTCTTCTATTATTCAGAATTTTTTGATTGATCTGAACTTTTTTATATATATATTATATATATTACAAATATATATATTTGTCATTTTTATATAGTGGCAGACTGTTTTAGGCTGATTTTCTTCTGGAAAGACCCAATGTCTAATGTTTAACTCTGATTATGGATTAAGAAAACAGACTAACTCACAATGTGCAAGATCAGTTTATCTTATTTAGATTTTTCTTCATAATTGGATATTGGTGAAATACACTGGGTATTTTTACCATACAGATATAGTTTTTTTTACAGAACTTGGGAAAGGGATCTTGTAAAATATTGTGCTTAGAGGAGTCAGTGGAAGGAGCAGAACCTGGCAGCTGCAACACACATGTGGTCATTGCTCACAAAATAGGGCGTGTAAAACTTTGTGTTGGAAATCTACCTTTAAAATTATATATATAATTTTATATTCAATTATATATTCAATTTGAAAACAGTCTGACCTGAAAAATGCAGGATTGATCAAATGAAGGAAGGCAATGGTTGATACAAATTAATGAGTAAATGAAAAATATGCATGTCAGCAGCAGGTAGGACTGTTTATACAAGCGGTCAAATAAGTTTGGTTAATTTTCAATCGAACTCACAGAAGAGCCAAAGTTCGACTGTCAAAGTCCCCCGGTGCAGTTGTTCCATGTACAAACAGAAAGATGAACCAGAGCTTGATGGTCCTAGTTGTCATAGCGGCCTTCCTGGCCCCAAGTGAAGGGCAAGATGCTTACGATCAGCTTTCAAACATGGAAAAGAAGGGAGTCGATCTGGCTCTAGAAAACCTCAATTCACATTCAAGTACACAGTACCATTTTCGCTTCTTCAGAAGTTTGAAAAAGTTCAGCACTGAGGTAACATCTTTTCCCAAGAAAATGCTGTAATCTGTTAATTTATTTCTTTTTATACAAGACAAACTAAACTTTTTTATAGATAACTTTGATAGAATAGAAATGCACCTATAGATTATATGGCTATATATACTGCCAGCAATGTTACAATGATGCAATAATATTCATCTGCTTCTTTCAGTCTGGGTTTGGTGCCTGGTTCATATATCACAATTTTTACGCCAAAGCCACAACATGCACAAAAGGGACGGAAGAACCCAATGCTAAGTGGTGCACATTCAGAAATGACAAAGTTAGTATTGAAAGGAAGTCATTGGCGTAACAGTAGTCAAATTTTTTACTAAATCATGCAAGAACATAAAGAAATTCTCTTCTCAGTCATTTTAATATGTAGGTTGTCCAATCCCTGATTCCATGTTCTTTTCCCTTGATAGCCTCTGATAGAGTGTGCGGTTTGTTACAAAATCCATTCTGATAACATTCTAAGCGAACCCAAGCCTTACATCAGCTGTGTTCGCAAACCTTCTTTAACAGAGGTATGTGTCACTTACTGATACTAATCTGAGAAACACAGTTTGCCACTTTTTGAAAAAATGACTCTGTGTCAGGCTTCGAAATGTATTAAAAACTGCTAATAAGATCAACATAAAAAAACAGGCATTTCTACTAGCAAACAATTATTAGGGTAAAACCATAAGGTATTAACCAAAATGTGAACCACTGCCACTGATTTCATAACTGAACTGAAAACAGAGTAAATAACTAGATAGTAATAATTTCTAAAAAAAAAACAACAAAAAACTAAAAATAGATAGATAGACAGACAGATAGATAGATATTAAACTATTTTTTAAAAACTATAAAAAGAAAATACTCTTATTATTATTATTATGAAGAAGAATTTTGGCTTCTCTAATCTTACTAGGCCACTACATGCACCTTCGTAATAAATATTTCCTCTTTCAATTTCAGGACGTACAAAAGAAGCGAGAGGAGCACTGTAACAAAATGCAGTACAGCGTTGGCACCATATCCTTACTGGGCTCCACCGGCAGGGAATGAGGTGCAGACACTGCGCCAGTAGAGCAGGGAGATGCCAGTGGTGATATTGCAAGCATCACGATCGTGATTCACAGACAATGCACAGATGCTCACATTGCGTCCTGTATCTTATCAGCATGCAAGGTAGTGCTATTGGTCCAGGCATGTATTACAAATCTGTCAAGATTCTTACTCATAGAAGTCCAATAGTGATTTTATTACAATAAATAAATCAGTAGAAGGTACACGTATAGCAAACATAATAAGTGGTAACACTTTTTATTGCATTATTGTTTTTTTGGTGTTTAAGGATAACAGCACTACATTTCTATGTAACCGACACAAACCAAAGTCATTGAATAAGCTTCAAGCCTTTGCCATATTAAAATTAGACTAAACTACCAATGATCGGTTTAATATATTCCCAAAAATGCATGTGTGGTGTGGCTCACTTGCAGGGTTGTGGGTTCCAGCACCTACTCCTTGCATATCTACCCCTGCATTGCGTGCGGTTCCTCTAAACGCTCTGGGGGTCCTCACACAGCAAAGATACCCACTGCTTTCAGTGGATACTAGTCTCTAAATCATTGGTCTGAAGTACATCCAGACCAAAGCACAGCTGAATCCATACTTCCCTGTTTGCCAAATTTTTTTCAAACACAGTGGACCTCGGGTTGGATTTTTCAAACACAGTGGATTTTGTGTGGCTCATGAAACTTGGGCCCTCAGGGAAAGAATAATAGAGAGCCCCTGCTCAAAATGATTATTGTGTGGCCCTTGTGGTCCTGCATTCCTTATGATATAACCTGCTCAGTCCATCCGGGGAAAGGCTCCCATAAACCAGGAAAAGTTATAAGATAACTAATGTTATAAATAAGATTATAAGATAACTAATTCTGAATCATTTTAATGGACTCCTACCTACCAACTCATGGTAAACTAGAGGTTTTTCTATATTAAACTGCCAAAAATCAGAAGAGTTATTGCCATTTTAACTTTAAAAAACAGGAAGAAATTGCTGTAAATTCATTTTGTAGGTCAAACACTGGAAATAAAAGGTCATGTTAATTGTTCACATGTTGCAGAAGACCTTAAAATCCTGTATCATTTCATAAATGTTTTACGACACATGAAAAATTTAAGATCACTAGTGTTTCCAAGGACAAAAGATTCAAACTTGTCTTCCTTTTTTCAGCTGTAACTAGTGCTAAATAATGATGTATCATTTCCATGACGTTTAAGGTGAAGTGAGTGTGCAAATTTGTTTTTGGTGATGCCTTGACGTCGAAGATGTTTTTCCACCGCTGTTCAAACATCTTTTTATCTATGTCTGGGTCAACAGACTGTCCTGGACCAGGCTAGTGTCCCCAGCCCACCATCGTAAAGCTCTGCTCACATTCAGGATGCATAAACAAATGATCACATGACCTCAGAGGCAATAAAAGGTAGCTATGATTAATTTAGATGTAATAATCACACAAATCCCCCCCATGAATCATCACCTTACCGTGCTG